TCTCCAAGCCTCAATCATCTGTAATGGAAAGTATACATGGGAGTTTTCATAATAGCACTTGACTCATAAAAGTGAGAGTGACACTAAAGAGAGCCAAGATTGGTTCCATGAAGGTGAGCAGAGGGGAACTTCAAATGCAGCCACTGAGCTAAGGAAAGTCCCCTTCAACTCTGTCTGGCTCTGAAGCCCAGGGTAGGATTATCTGCCTCAGGGTCCCTGTTATGATTTCCTTTCTTAGGCTCAGAAGCTGCCTCTCAACATACCCCAAGGCTATTTTAGAATCAGTGTGACTGGGGGTCTCATCAACTGAGGCTGAGTCATGTCATCACGTCACAGCTTTGGGAGGTAGGATGAGACAGCCTCATCCCTTCTACAGATTTAAACCATGAATTCCACCCAGGGCTTGATGTCATCCTTTCATTCATGTTTTCAACTCTATCCTTCAAAAGTTTTACTTTGAGGATTAATATTATTTTTAAAAATTCAACTCTTGGTCCAAGTTTTCCATTTTTTTGTCCAAATTCATTTTCTTCCATCTCCTCTTTTGCTTATTAATAAAAGCTTCCTTTGTGTGTAACACCATCTCTCCATGCTATGAACTTGTGGGTGTTACAATATGACGTTCTCGAAGGAACAGTAATTATTCTGAGGTTTAATATAGCCAGACTACAGATGTGACAAATTTGAAGGTCCTCTGAGGGCAGGATTCTCTCAGAGAGGATCTTAAAATGAAAGCTTACAAGGCATCGTGTATGCCCCAGCACCTGTGAATAGAGCCTGGATTCTCTCGTTTTTAGAGCTTTCCTTTCTATTCTTTATCACAATCTATGTTACAAAATTAGATTTATACTCTCCTTCCCTTAAACAGAAAACCTCAAAGAACATGCAGAAATGTGTTTCCGTTTGATGCATTTTCCTCTGCTTCTCTTCTGAATTCTTCCCCCTTGAAGTCAAAAACTAGTAAAAAAAAAAAAAATCACCCCTTTTCCTTTCATCCCTCTAAACAATGCAATTGTTGATGGCCATTTCTACCACAACTAATGGCTGGCATGGTTGGAGATACGGAGCAAAGGTGAAGAGAGAAAGGGAATGAGCATGCTTTACATTCTCAGTATCTCATTTTGAGGGAAGTAAGGAGATGAAGAGTTTACGAGGGATTCTTGACACATTGCACTTTCCACAATCGAATCTTGGACTCTCTTCCTGGCTCGCTCACTCTGTGGGGAATCAAGTGTCCCAGGACATTCAAGCAGCTTGTGGGAAGGTCTGAATGAAGAGGAATGATGGTCTCCCAGCAGCAATTCCCATCAACTTTCAGGGAGCTGAGTGAGCCACGTTGAAGTGAATCCTTCAGTTCCAGTCAACAGTTTTCAGAGAGATGTGGTTCGTATATCATAAAATACACCCTTTTAACTTATGTAATTCAGTATAATTCAGTGGTTTTAAATATATTCAGAGCTATGCAACACTCACCATTAACTTTTATCTCCTCCCAAAGAAATCCTGTACTCATGGACAGTTACTCTTCATTCCTATTCCCCCAAATATCTGACAACCATTTATCTTGAACCTTCATAAGTGATGACACTGAATATTTTTATGTACTTTTGGACATTTTCATGTCTTCTTCGGAAGAATGCCTATTCAAACATATCTTGACTCGGGCCCGGCGCAGTGGAGCAGTGGTTAAGGTCCTCGCCTTGCATGCCCAGGATCCCATATGGGCACCAGATCTATCCCGGCGGCCCCGCTTCCCTTCCAGCTCCCTGCCTGTGGCCTGGGAAAGCAGTCGAGGACGGCCCAAGGCTTTGGAACCCTGCACCCGCGTGGGAGACCCAGAAGAAGTTTCTGGATCCTGGCTTCAGATCGGCATAGCATTGGCCATTGTGCTCACTTGGGGAGTGAATCATCGGACGGAAGATCTTCCTCTCTGTCTCTCCTCTCTGTATATCTGCCTTTCCAATAAAAAAAAATAATAAAAATAAATCTTAAAAAAAAACATATCTTGACTCTATTTGGGACATTTTGTCTTTTTATTATTATTGTAACTTTAGTATACTTATCAATCCTTTATCAGTTACATGATTGAAATATATTTTCCCCATTCCGTGTGTTAACTTCTCATTTTCTTGTTGATGCTGTTTAAATAAAAAAATTTAATTTTAATAAAGTCCAACTTATCTGTTATTTTGTCATTTGTAGTTAGGTGTCATATTCAAAAATTCATTGCCTAACCTACATCCATGCTGTGTACTTTTAGCCTTTATTCTTAGATATATCATGTACTTCCAATAGTCTCTGTGCATGAAGTAGTGATCCAGCTTGATTCTTTTGATATAGACATACAGTTGGAGGTTTTATGAAAATTCCCAAGTAAAATAGATGCTAGGCTGCTGGTAGGCATAGCTACTGTGACTTTCAGTCTACTGGCTTTCAGCGATACAACATAGCTATAGTAAGGAGTATGGAAACAGCCAAGTTAAAACACAATAAAGCTCACTGTTCCTTCTCACATTGATTCTTTTTCTTGCATAAACACTGCTTAAATTATTTCAAGGCTTTGATTAATTCCCAGAGTTCCAAATAATCTGGTTTTTAAAAGATTTATTTATTTATTTGAAAGTCAGATATACAAAGAGGAGGAGAGATAAAGAGGAAGATCTTCCATCTGATGTTTGACTCCCCAAGCAGCCACAATGGCTGGTGCTGCGCAATCCAAAGCCAGGAGTCAGGAGCCTCTTCTGTGCTCCCACATGGGTGCAGGGTCCCAAAGCTTTGGGCCATCCTCAACTGCTTTCCCAGGTCAAAAGCAGAGAGCTGGATGGGAAGCAGAGTTGCCTGGATTAGAACCAGCACCCATACGGGATCTTGGCACATGCAAGGTGAGGACTTTAGCCACTAGGCTACCAAGCCAGGCCCCAAATAAGCTGATTTTAACAATCTCTGACAGTGTTCTCATTCCTTTTATGGAAGAGAATATTTTGTGAATCTTTAGTCTGGTCTTCTGGAAATACTTCCAACATCTTGATTGAAAACTAATGAGAAATCTTGCCCAGATAAGTAATTCCTGAAAACCTGACCTACAAGAAATGCAAGAACAAATCTGTTGTTTGAAGCCACTACACTTGAGGTTAATGTGTTTTGTTTTGTGAATAATGTAGTATCAGTCGCCACCTTCCAAGTTTTGTGAAGAGAAGTATCCTCTGACATCAAAACCAGAAGCCTTTCAGATTATGGCTTCACCAAGTGCAGATCTCCATGACCTTGAACATTATTCAATAATAGAATGATATAATGAGTTTCACTGAAGGCATACAAACAATAATGGAGGATTATTTTAGAAGGGAGATTGTCAAGGAGTTTAAGGCATAAAGAAAATTAACTCTGAGATGACGATTAAATGATAGCAGAATGATAATGACAACAGCTTATATCACCTCATCAATCTAACTCAGTAAGGTATATCAACCTATTTCCTAAAAGCAAAAGCTTTCTGTAAGAATTCAGAAGACCTTGACTGGAACCCAGCACCTACTGTTTTCATGCTACTTCTGTTTCACTGTCTCAGCTCCAAAACAACTTTTCTGCATTTCTTCATATGTAGAACCAGTAGAACAGCTATCACACCTGGAAGAACTGAATAAATAATATATTGCAATAAATTTTGATGTATAGTCATAGATTAACATATAGAAAGATACAGAACAGGTGTTCAGCAGATGAAAGTATTCTACTAGTGTTTTTATCCCTATCATCCACATCATATTAGGTGATAGGCTATAGACACTATCCTAACATACAGCATAAGGCATGAGAGCAAACACTACAGGAACACGTCTTGTCAGACTCAAATGAGATTCTAGCACTACTTAGGCAAGTGATTTGCTAATATCATCATATACCATGACACATTTGGATATACTGATAATTACATCACTACTAAATAGAATAAATGAAGTATTATATTCTGGCCCAAGACCTGATAACTCATTTAGACTGGTAGTGGGAATTCAAGAAATATTTCCAGAATTATTTAAAGATCACATCACAGTATGATAGCATTGAAACTTTTAGAAGGATTCAGAGTTTTTTTCTAAAGAAAGACAGAAGTGCTGTTTTATAACATCTGCCAATTTCACAAATATACATCATCTCACCAAGGTCAGTTTCAAGCTACCACATAAGGTCACTAAATGTGGAGTTGGTGGAGGGTCAGTATGAGTCAGCACTAGCACACCACGGCTTCCAGGTAACTTTTGAGGAGCAGTCACTCAAGAAATCTCACCTTATGACTCTTACCAGCAGCAGAGAGAGGCTAAAAGAAGCTCAGATGCTGGTGTCTTTGGGAATATTTAAAATATTTAAAAATATTTAAACCTTGTGACTTCTCATTCAGTCACTCTACTGATGTACCTATGAAAACAAGGCAGCTTCCCATGCAATTTTCACAGTTGGAAACATTTCCATGGTATAAAACCTTGGGAAACAAGAATTTAGTTGAAGACATAATCCAATACGAAAATCCAAAGCGCAGTTTTGGACGAGTCTGTTTATTAAAGAACAAACCTTCCTTCTAATATATTCTGTTCAACTATGAAGTTCATTTTACATTTTTGAAAACAGTGAATTCAACTTTTAAAAAATTGGGCATTTAAAATACTCTAGTTCCAAAGTTTTCAAAAATGAGCCAAGGTAAGTGAGCTGAAAAAGCAAGATGAAGTGAAATCACCCATGACATTCTGTCATATAAGCCATTATGCATTTCAACATCTGCAACTGAAAAGCCATAGAAGTCAAAATGTAAAACCAAAAAAATTCCAAGGATCACAGGCTGTTTGAAATCATCCCCGGTCAGTTGCATGTAAAAATAAATTAAATATAAATAAAGAGGTGAAAAAAATAGAGGTGAGGAGAGCTTGTATGTACTCAGGTGTGTCCCCAAATGCATATTCTGAAGGGACATGAGGGTAAAGTGAACATCTTTCATCTTGTGAGATGTGTCGCTACACGAAACTCTCCTCCATGTTGCTGCAGAGTAAGAAGGAATCCACAAGTCGGGGCTGCACTAGCTGCTGGAAGTCAGAGTCCTGCAGGCCTTCAGGGCAGACCCCAGCCAACTGACGCAGAGCAGCCTAGGGAGAAAACACAAGAGGATGGTCAAGCCTTACTCAAGCGCATCTATTTCCTTCTGCTGTCCTGAGAGATGCAGTTCAAGAACAGCGCACTCACCAGATGACTTGAGCTGAGCGTTATCTGGGCCATCTGAAACCACAGTGATCAACCTGATCATAGGTCTCCACGGCGGTTTTATCACACGCTTACCCAGTTTCATTTGCACCTTGGTTACTATGACACATTTCATCAGGAATCCCTTAATGATGGATAATAATAGCCTGGTTATCTCCGCTTTTCAAGTCATCTTCAGAGCCTGGTCATTTCAAAAAATTTTCTATTTTAAAAATCTCTTTCACTGAATGATAGATTCAAGTTCAAGGTACACCCATTTTAAGGATTGTAACTTTCAGAAGCATCAAAGAAATTATATTTTTAGGTTGTAAACTAACGTTAGAACAGCAAGAACTATTCACTGATGTAGAAATTCAGCAAAGCCTCGTGCAAAACAATATGAAAACAAGGAAGAAGACACAGACACTGGGATATTTAATGTCAAGCAGAGGGAGAAATAAGAAAGACAGGGGCAGGCAGCCTGAAACCGATTTCCCAAATGCCCCCGTGACATGAAGTCCACTCTCTTCCCTGGCCAATGCATTCATTCTGTAAGGCTGCACTATTTGCACCTCCCATGTGAAGCCTTCCCTCATTACCCTGAAGCAGAGACAGTTCATCTAGATCCTATATACTCAGAGTGCCTGGGCTGACCTCAAGTTTCTCACACATGAATATAACTGGCATCTGGGTGTTTGTCTCAATCATTAGACTCTGAGCTTGCCAAGGGTAGGAATCCTGTTCTATAATTCATTCTCTCTCTTCCTCCTATGTATAGTAAGCACCACAGTGTTTTACATGGGTTTAATATACATGAACAGCTTAAGATAGAGCAACCTGAAATGGTAAATGTGAGTTATGCACTCTCCAAGGTCTATTTACATGGACTGAAACAATGCATTCTAAGTGTTCCATGAATACTATTTATTTCCCTATTGCTGTACAGGTACACAGCCGGGTAAAAGGCATCCATCACTGGAAATGGAGAGAGTTGGGAGAGTATCTGGAATGGCAGAGGCAGCACAGAAGGAGGCAAGTCAATCCTCACATAATAACTACATACAGTAGTTCATTTAATCCTGACATTATGCTATTCCTCAGAGAGGAAAAAGTGGCTGTCCTCAGAATCACTCAGCAATCTCAGCCCAGGGCCTTCCTACTGCACACACAGGTAATATGTGACAACCTTAGAACACTAAGTTATACTGAGTACAAGGCAGACTTAGAGCTCATTACCTATACATGACAAGTAGCCTGTTGCTGAGAAATCAGGCCAGGAAAGTGAAAACAGAGGGTGATTTGAGCTGATTGATGGAGTCGCAGCTGCTAGCATGTCTGCCAGATCAAGCATAAGAAACACGTGTTTCTGAGCATGTCTGAGACAGTGGTGGCAGGGAGGTGACTTGCCGGAACAGACTCTACCAAGTGTGCCTGCTTCTCCTAGGAGGTAATTTGCTCCAAGGTAAATACAGCACTTTCACCTCCTCTCCAACTGGGAGAAATATCCAATGGGGACAGAACTGGGAATCACTCTCCAGATGTGGATTGGAGTCTCTGGGGCATTTTGCATCAACAAACAGAGGTAAAAATAGAGGGAGAGAGGACAAAAAGAGACAAGAACAGAAAGACAAAACAGGTCCACAGGACAGGAAAATAGCAGCAATACAAAGAAAAGGAGGCAACAGAGAAACAAAACACAAAGGAAATGCTAAACCAGATGAACTTGATAAAGGAAAGATACTAAGCATGAGAGTGTGATGGAGAGAACAGAGAAATTAGTGACAGAGAAAGAGAAACAGCCTTTGCTAGGAGAGGGACAGGAGAGAGGCAGAGCACGGAGTGAAGGCAGAGACAAAAAGGAAGTAGAGGGAGCAACCGGGGATAAAAGATGAGGGAACAACAATAAAAACAAAACAACAAACAGAGAAAGGGGAAAGAAGCAGAAAGTGCTAAGAAAACAGATAACCCCAGGAAGAGGGAAAATAAAATGAAAGCATGAATAAAGAAACAGATCTCTTCTTCCCAGAGCCCTCCAAATGTTAGTGGAATGCAAGCCCCTCATCGGCATAGAGCACCCCCTTCCTCTGCATGCACCATCCTCAAAGGACCCTGCCTCCTTCCAGGCCCTTTCTCAGCCCCTTCTTTTCTGGGAGGGTGAACAACTCATTCTCCCAGAACCTCATTCCCAGACAGCCTGAAAACACCCAAGTATTAAACAAGCTCACAGTCCACTGACAGCTGCTTCATTAAGGAAAAATCAATTCTGTCTGGGAGATGCGATCTGCGGCATCACCTTCCCAGACACGGTGATGATAATGGAAATTTCCACCCTCCACCTCAAGAGAGCCCTTTGAAACAGAAAAGCCAGGGGGCCAGAGTGGGGAGGAGCAGGAAGGGTAGCTTCCAACTCCATCTGCCAGGCAGGGCTCCAAGTGGAAACTACCTCACCAGCTGGGGATAGCACCCAAACACTGGAGTCCTTCTAGAGCCACACCATGGACACCCTCCCTCACTGGCAGCGGGGGTGAGTACACAAGTCTGCCAGTTCTCAAGTGAGACAATATAAAGTCACCAAACTCAACATTCTATGGCAATACAAAGAGCTACACAGGGGTCCTTGTCCTAAGATGGTTTCCAGGATAGAAGTGGGAAGAGTGCAAATCCTTCCCCAGGAGGCAGCATAGCGAGACTAGGGCCATATAAGACCAGAAGAGAAAGGGTGTTGTCCCAAAATCCTAACTGCCAGAGGCAGGCAGGCCTGTGTCTGAACTCTGAGACTCACCCTTACATCGCCCGGAGCATGAATAATACAGGCTGTATCAGACAGGGTAGGATAAATCCCGAGAAGGAAGCCTGGGACCTACAGTGTGCTTGTCATCTTAGCACCACAGACAGCTTCTGGAAAGGTTGAAGTAGGGTGGGCATTCAGATTAGAGGCAGGGCCAAAATAAACAACAGTGTGGAAGATACTTAGCTTGGGGCAAAGGCAGGGCATATTTCAGGCTTGGCCAAAATGGGCATAGCCTGGAAAGCACAGATCTTCAGACCCAAAGCACTGGTTAGGGTCACAACGTCAGGGGCTGAACAAGCGACAGTGGCCTATAGAGAACAGGCAACCATGGTCGCATTTCAGGGAAGTGCTACAACTATAATCTGTCATTTGGAAAATCAACCCGGCAGTCAGCTAGAGGATGGACTGGAGAGGAAGGGGCATCTACTGACTCATTCATAAGAACAAATACACTCCCCCTCCCACCTGGAAGTCATTTTACAGATGACAAACAGAAGCCAACCCCCTGTGAGCTCTCCATTAAGTTAACAGCACAAATGACAACAGTCATAAGCCATCCTATCTAAATAGGACTTTATGGCTTCTAAAGTGTTTTCACTATTCAGACTCAGGATGTCTCTGGCTCCCGAGACTGTGGGGAGAATGGGAGTTGAGGCCATCATTACATGAGTGCCAACTGCTAATTTCCCCCAGTTTTACTTCCAAGATGTGGCAGAATTAAGAGACTGTGAACCTGGCTCAGAAAAGTGCATTTTTATTTTCAATAACCTCGAACTGAAACTTAGAAACAAACAACAAACAAACTTGGCAACAAACAAAAAAAAAGTAGAAATCACATGTTTTTATATCCCATAACAACTTCTGAAAACATCTTCAGGTATCATTTATAGGTGTTGCTAGCCAGGATTACAATGTTTATTAGATTCACTGCTAGATTTTATTTAGTGTGTCAACTGAAAAGCAGATATGAATGTACTAGATGCTGAAACATCCTAATATATTTTGTTTCTTCTTGATTCTACATATTTTATTTTATGCATTGAACACATTATTTTGGGATGAGCACTCAACAAAACTGTCAAGATGCCACCGGGGACACCTGCAGTGCACAAAGGAGTGTGTGGGTTCAAGTCCTGGGTTCCACTTCTGATCCGGCTTCCTGCTAATTATATTCTGTGAGTTAGTAGGTAATGTCTCAACGTAGCTGGGTTCCCGTCACCCATGTGGGACACAGCTCTTGGCTCCTGGTTTTGGCCTGGCCTACTCTGGCCTACTCTGGCCTACTGTAGGCATGTGGAGGGTGAACGAGCAGATGGAAAACTTTTGTCTCTACCCCTCCTCATCCATCTTTCAAATAAAATAAAAAATAAATCTTTAAAGTGCTCTAAAAGGGGTCCATAAGCTTCAGCAGACTGCCAAAAGTACAGAGTGCAGAGTGCAGAGTGCTTGTGTGTCCCGGAACAAAAGCCTTAGGAGAGCTGACATCGTTGTCTCCTCCCGCCCCAAACCCCAACTGCGTCCACAGAGCTTACAATAGCCAACAGCATATCCAGTAAATATTTACTGAATGAAATAGCATTTAGTGACTGCCCCAATACCACACAGCTCAGCAGTGCTAAGACCAATGCAGGGCTATCTGACTACATTGTCCTGCTACTTCTGTATCTGCACAACACAGCAGGACCTCCCAGAAACGAGAAGCAGAGTAAAACCTTGAGTAAGGAGATAACTGAAACAGCGCAGAGGAGCTTTAACTTCCTAAGTGGCTCCTCCTTCGTGCTCCTGAGGACCAATCATCTGACACTCTTCTGAAAGCTCAATCGCTGTGACGACACAATGGCTTCCAAGTTACTCCAGGAAAGCGGAGAGGAGTGACAACCATGTGCCCCCACCTGGTACTGTTGAATCTTTCATGGTATCCTCAGCATCAAGTAGCTGACTAGGCAGTTGCCAGGGCATTTGGATTCAAGGTGAAGATCTTGGTAGCTGGCTGAGTAATCCCTCTATCCGGTAGTGTTCCCGCCCTTTCCATCCCACAAAGGAGGAAGAAGTTCTAATACTGGAAGATCCCAGGAAAGGGGTTTTCTCCAGGGGTGAAAGGAGACTTTTCTCAGCATGTCCTCCTTGCAGGGGACTTCCATGTGCCAGCACCCCTCTTCTGACAGTGCCATCACGTCAGCACCACCACCTAGCATTTCAGCCACCTGCTGCTCGGTTTTGATCTGCTGTTAGGGTCTTCCAGAACCTTAAATCTTGCGACTACTAAAACTGTGGTAATAGGACAGAGCCCAGTTTCTTAGGCCCTGTCTTTCACAAATACAATCTCACACAATTTTCATCAAAATTTTATGAATTAAATGCAACAAGGGTGATACATTATCACCATTTTGAAGAGAAGAACTGAAACCAACAGAGGCTTTTGTGGCTCACCCAGCATATGCAGGTCTCCTAGCCATCTCTCTGCATTCCCACAGACCTAGGCCACAGCTGTGGGAAGAAACTTACCAGGCAGGCCACCAGCACGGCATCACTGCTATTCCTCTCTGATGGGGATCTGCAGAGCTCGATGAGACGGGACATGCCTGCAAAATCCAGGGAGAGATTGATGCCTGTGATGCGAGGACCTGGCCTGACATGGAAGTGTTGACCCCTCCCTATGGAGCCCGATCTGCTGAGGAAGGGGAATGAACTCACTCAGAGGAGTCTGTGGCAATTTTCTGCTAATCAGTTGCAGTGGCAAAGCACACAACCCACAAGTGCAACCTGCAGCAACTCAGCAGACTCAGTTAAAGCAGTGGCCCAGGGACTGCCCATCTGTCCTGTCTGAAGACTTCCGACTTTACCTATGCTGTGCATGACCTTTATGTCCTTCTGGAAGGGACTTCTGAGCCAAATAGTACATTTGCCACAACTGCATATTTCAGGCAAAAAGTGTTGTGGTTAAGATTGTGGAAAACCACAGATTTTATGAATGTTTCCCAGAGAATTACTAAGGTAAGTTAAATAAGTGATTTTTTCAATATACATTTAACTGTTGGTTAAGAAAACGTAAGATAGTAGCAGAAGTTACACAGACAGGGGCTGCATGTTTATCCTGCATCCAGTCTCAATAAAGCAGGAACCCTTTGTTGCCCTGGGCCACCTGCTAGTATCCATGGTACTTCACTATGTGCCTTTCCCTGCTTCTACTTACAGTGCCTTCCTCGGCGTTCACGCCAGAATGACTCCCACTGGCCCTTCAAGCCACAGCTTGGAAGCTTACTTCATGAGTAAAACCCCTTGCTTCATGGAGATAAACATGGGCTCCTTCTCCTGGCTGCCTAATTTGCATTGGACACTCAGAGTGTTGCTCCTGTACCCAGCTGCAGATAGTTCTCACATCTCTTATCCCCAGAGGGTTGAGAGTCTCTGGTCAGAACAATATGATCATCAGTGTTTCCTGTCAGGAGAGAACTTAGCATAGGGTGAGCGATCTGTAAATACCTGGTAGGCAAATAAGTGACTAACTAAATGATAGAGTGATATGCTGAATGACTTAATAAATGAATGCATAGGTGAAGAAATGAAGTAATGAATCAACAAAAGGACAAGTTAGTGATCAAATGAGGCAATGGATGAGGAAACAACTCATTGAGTAGACAGATGAATGAATATCTGCATGGAAGCACAGGCTTCCGGTTAACAGTCATTGTCCAACTCACACAGTCCTCTCCAGGGCCTCCGTCCCTCCAGGCACTGCCCCCTGAGCCTCCTCTGTCAGCAGTCCAGCCAGCCTCTGGGCACAGCCATGGCTGCTACCATGAAATCAGGGGCAGCTCTCCTCATCCACCTCACCCCAGCCACAGCCACTGCCACCACCACTCACAGTTGAGACGCACAGCCTCCCGGGCCACATCTGGATCTCTGCTGAGCCGGGCCAGGGTCACTGCTGCTTTCTGCTGCACTCGCTCACAGGCCGCTACCTCGGCAGGGGTCCCAGACCTTGGCTTTTCAGACAGCATGCCCATGATGAGCTGAACCCCTAGACAAGAAGCAGTGAACACTTGGTAACCACAGGCTGCAGGCAGACGGATGGCTGCAGGGTTCAAACACAAACTGTCAGATGACTTGGATGGTATCAATCACAGAGACCAAGGAACCTCTTCTTTTCCCTAATTTCATGTGGCATGTCACCATACTTGGAAGGGATATCAGAGCACATATTTGTTTTTCCCAATGCTATGATAGCTTCTGCTGAATGCTTGGCACTGTGCTAAATGCACAGTTCATGCACGGTGCTCTGAAAGCTCCTGGGAGCCTCATGAACTAGTCCTACTAGGATTCCCTTCAAGGGCCAGAGACAAGTAGAGTGCCTTGCATACAGACATTTAGTAACTGGGAGAACAGATATGGAACTCAGGTAGCTGGTTGCTCCCCATCACCTTTTTGATATCTGATGTTGTAACTGTTAACTGAGTCAACCAGCAGTACTTCATAAACAACAAACCCTGTACAGCGCCAGTCATTCCCATCTCCAATTCACAGATCCATGGAGACACACTCTCACCGACCACTTGAACTTGACACCGACAGAACAGTGCACAAGTGATCCCTCTCAGCCTCTTGGCCTCAGCTGGCTCAGCAAAGTTTCTCATTATTAACTCAATCACACAAAATTAGCACAAAATTATGTCTTTCAATTAGACATGGAGTGATGGGGGAAGGGCAAGCATACATCTGTTAAAGACAGCCGGGCAAGCTGGGTTTCACCAGAGCAAACGCAGCGGTAGAGGCTCCCAGCTCACTCAGCCTCATTAGCATCTCTGGTTTCCAACCAGCTGATAATTGTTGCTTTATTATCCTGTCACAGGTAGCCCTCACTGCTCCCTGCTTCCAGCTGCAAGGCAGCAGTCTTGTTTTCCAGCATAAGTAGCTTAGACCAGCTTCCAGGGCAAGGAAACCCGGCCTCACCTCTGCTGGACATAATCAGTACAGATGGGATCAAGGGAGCAAGTGGAGGAAGAGACACTCTCATTGAGGACTCACGGCATTCAGATTACCATGACCGGAGACCCACCCTCACCGCTTCCCAGACATTTCAGGCTTCTGGTAGGGTTAAGCCCAGTAAGATGGGAATGATTTAAGATTGGAATGTATTCCCTTTTAAGAACAGATGCTTACTTTGGGATCACAGTGACACAAATGCTTTTTCCTCACCATCCCAGCCTACCTTACCCTCTCCCTGATTTCCTCTCCCTGGGGTACTATCACCATCTGACACTCTTTATCTTTTTGTTCATTGTCTCTCAGTAGATTTTAAGCTGCAGGAAAGCAAGCAAATATTCATGTATTGGTCCAGTTGCACACAAACATATGCTAGCGCAAATGTGGAGACACACATACACATTTACACATCTCTGTATTGACATCTACACAAGCATGAAGGCACCTGGCTCTGTTCACCCAATTGACCCATTAAGCATGCACATTGCTGCACACATACCATTCTCCTGGATGATGTCGGAGGCACACTGCTCAAGGACGGACATATTGGCCAAGATGGTCACAATCTAGAAGAGAAAGTGGTGAAAACTAAACACCAGCTACAAATGGTGCTCTCCACATAGGTCAGTCAGGGGCTGCAAAGATTCCCTTCATCCTGTAACTCCTTACTGTCCATATAGCCAGCCCTTTTCATGGCATTTTCTTCCCTCTTCTTGGACCCCTCTTCTTAGACTATTTTCCCAGTGACTGATGTCCACTAATCAGCATGTGGCCTTAAGATGTCCCTCAAGGGCCCCAGGATCCAACTCTGTGGTGCTGGCTAGTCTTTGTGATGGCAGGTGCCTGCCCTGGTTTAGGTTATCCCTTCTCCACTTCTCCCTGATGTTGACCCTCACCTACTTTCAACTTGAAATGAAGTGAAGGTCAAAGCAGAGCACGACACCCCCAGCATCAGATGTTGCATGGAATCTGACAGGAGAGTTCATGCTCGGCTCTACTTGGCTAGTTTGTGGTCAGAAAGCCTTGTATATCAGTCCTCATGGAAGGGTTCTGCCTGTAGGAAATGGACACCGGCAGAAGGTGGAGAGGGAACCATACTTAAAAGCCTATAGGTTGCAATACATTTTCCTTGCATGTCCTGGCATATCCAAGAGAACACCAGGGACTCAACCCACAATTAGATTAAGAAGCCAAGAATTGACCTATTCCAGGGACCCCAAAACATCTCTGGAATACATTAGAAATATAGTGTCTATTTGCTCTTTTGCCACTCACGACATTACTCCTGGCATAACCAACAAACTGAAAATTCACCTACTTTCAGGAAGCAGACAGCACTCCAGGGTGATAGTTAAATAAATAAGTGAAATTAAAGACTCTTCTCACAGATGTCTCTCTCCTTTTTTAAAGATTTGTTTCATTCATTGAAAGCCAAAGTGACAGAAAGAGGGAAAGACAAAGAGATTTTTGCATCCACTGGTTTATTCTCCAAACAGCTGCAACAGCCATGGCTAGGCCAGACTGAATACAGGATCTTTGTACTCCCACCTGAGTGGCAAGGATTCCAGCACTTGAGCCATCTTTCACTGCTTTCCCAGGCTTGTTCCCAAGGAGCTGGAACAGTAGTAGAGTAGCCAGGACTCAAACTAGCACTCTGACATGGGAATGTCAGAGTTGCAAACAATGGCTTAACTTGCTGAGCCACAGACCAAATAGATGTTCTCTCTCAAAATGTTTTCTTCAGAGTATTGGGCAGAATATTAGCCCAGGCAGTGGTCCCATCTCTAGAATGGTGATTCTGTAGTCTTTTGAAGATAATCTAGGCAACAATTCTAAAACTGGGTAATAACATGGAGCTGTGTCTGAACCAAAAAGAGAGGAGTGAGAAACATAGCCCCCAAACGCCATGTTCCTAAGAGGCATAAAGTGCAGAATCTTCAGGAGAGAAGAAATAAGCCAAGTTCATGTCAAGTTAGAGTTCATTTGTTTTCTCTGGGCTGTTAGTAGCAGCAAGGAGCACAGCCTCTGTTTCCAAGACACAGGAGCGGCTGCACCCTAGCTCTCATCAGCCTGGCCTCTCTCAGCAAAGCACATGCTTGGCATCCAGGCTCATTGAGGGAGAGAGAAACGAAGGAGGGTAGGAGGGAGTGAAGGAGGGAAAGAGAAAGAAAAAGAGAAAGGGAAAGGAAAGGAAAGGAAAGGGAAAGGGAAGGGAAGGGAAGGGAAGGGAAGGGAAGGAAAGGAAGGTAGCATTTGTCTGCAGCAAGGGGTTCATTATACGGAAATTATTAGCTGTGTCACAGGCACAGGTAGGTCTTTGTGTCAGACTAATTTAGATCCTGTTAATGAAAATTACTTCCTCTTTACAGAGCCTGTACCCCATGTGGTTTTCTGAGGTGTAGATAAAGTATTCAATTAAGCACCATTTGAATAAATGCCAATTACGATCTGTGTGGGGTCCCCTTTCTGCCACATCCTCATGTGTACCCTGATGTGGAGGGGAAAGAGGGCAATGCCTCCTCTCATGCATGGCTGGGAGTTTAAAGGCAACTGGTTTACCTGACAACATGCAAGGGAGCCACAGTTTGAGAGAAAAATGAGCAGCAGTCAGGCAAGCAGCTTTCTCTGGCCCAGGTTAATTCAGTCCTGGCTACTGGCATCAATGAAGTCCTGCTTCTAAATGAAAAGGCCCTGTTCTCCCTGCAGTGACTTGGTGAACACAGAGGCCCTAGATCAGAGACAGTGCAGTGCCTTGGCTAGTCACACTGATCAGCCTCAGTTCAAGTTCAGCCTTTCTTCACTTACTGTCAGCATGACTTGGCCATATTATCTACCTTCTGTGTCTTGGTTAATGAAAGTGTCTCAATTCCCAGTACATAACAAAATTCCACAAGCTAAAAGACTTAAAGCCACACATTTTATCATTTTGCGATATGGGGGATCCTAATGGGTCCTAAACAGGTCCTAAATGGGTCATAGGGAACTGAAATTAAGCTATTAATAGATCCACATTCTTCCTGGATAATCTGACTTCTAGAGGTTACGCACACTCCTTAGCACTTACCTCTGCCTCACGCTCACATGGCTTCTTTAATTGCATCTTGCTCTCCTGACACTTATTCTTCTGCCTCCCTCTTCTAAGAATGTTGGTGATTACCTGGGGCTCATCTGGATAATATTCTCATCTCAAGGTCCCTAACATAATCACAATGTGTCAAACCTCTTTTGACACACAAGGTAATTGACCCACAGGTTTGGTTGAGTAGGATATGGCATGGGGCAGGGAGCACTACTTGGATTTATTATAGATGACAGAAACAAGGATTGCTTTAAAAATTCAATGATTGACTCTCTTAGCTCTCAGAATCTGTGCTGAAATGAAAAGAACATAATTTGCCTCAGGAAGAAAAACCTGGAAGGACATAGGCCCTGAAGAGTCTTGCCAACTTGCACTAACCAATATAACACAGCGGGCCAGGCACTGGCGTGGCCCAGATGTGCTGCTTAGCTGGAATCACTCCCAAGGAGAGGAAAGATCTTAGAGCAGGAGCAGCCCTTCTGAGTAAACACTACCTTTAGGGGCACCTTGAAAGCCCTTTTCCTTTGTCCTCTAAAGGACTTGGGAAAACTCAGACAAATAAAAAAATGGATCCAGGATAGCAGGGTAAGCTACCTTCTGTCCCAGTATGCCATTACTTCAAGGATAAAAATCTGTGAGGGACAGGAGGTTGGTAAAGCCTTTTGATACCAGCACATGTAGAGGAAAAGGCTGGCCCTTACAGGCCAGAGCGGGTGTTCTGGAAACACCTGTCCACAGACCACTGTGAAGACATGGCTCAGACTCACCTCACCCCCTTGGCAGGCCCTCAGTGGTCAGTCAACTTCACATCCAACTCTGCTTATATTCCTTTTCATGTGTTATGTAGGACACTATTACTGCACCAGATGAGAGGTCTGTGAAGAATGCCCTTGGACATCCCAATAGAGGCAGGTGCTCTTATCCGACAGAACTTACTACACAGAAAATTTGATATACAGTTAATGCAAAGCTTTGATTACTTCCATATAGGTTAGGAATTAGGGCAAACAGCAACTCAAATTAATGTACTTAGAATTATTCTTTAACTGCCAGATAGAATATTTTTTAAAGTTTTATTTATATTTTATTGGAAAGGCAGATCTACAGAGAGAAGGAGGGTCAAAGAAAGATCTTCCATCCACTGGTTCACTCCCCAAGTGAATGCAAAGGCTGGAACTGAGCCAGTTTGAAACTAGGAGCTAGGAGCCTCTTCCAAATCTCCCATGTAGGACCAGAGTCCCAAGGCTTTGGGCCATCCTCTACTGCTTTCCCAGGCCACAAGCAGGGAGCTGGATGGGAAGCAGAGCAGCCAAGACATGTACTGGTGCACATATGGGAACCTGGCAATTGAAAGGGGAATATTATCCAATCGAGCCATTGTACTGGGCCCCAGACGGAATATTTAGATTTCTATTATCACTGTGTTAATTATGATTAACAATATCAACCATGGCATTCACTACAGCAGTTTCTACTCTTTTCTTACATGTCATCATTGACATATGTGACATGTCAAACTGAATATTTTAGTAAGCCTAGATTTCAAAAATTTGCACCAAAACATATTTTAGTTCCCTTTTCTATTAATTCTTTGACATATCCATGTATATGCTTGACAAAGCCTTATAAATCATAAAGGGCTTTTGAGATGTCAGTGAAAATTACAAACCCAAGTTACTGGCATTCATGATAAGTGAATTCCTGCTAAAAATGGTAACCACAGTGAGTCTTCAAAATGCTACAAAGTCTACTTAACCTAAAATGCTAGACAGGGTAGGCATGTTACAATTGTTAGCATATTAGTTGGGATGCCCATGTCCTGTATCAGAGTTCCTAGGTTCAGTCTCAGTCCCGCCACTTCGCATCCAGCTTCCAGCAATGCATACTCTGGAAGGCACCAGGAGATGGCTTGAGTATTTGGGTACCTGATTGCATATAGGAGACTGGACTAAGCTCCAGGCTCCTGGCTTTGGCTCAGCTCAGCTCAGGCTGTTTTAGGAATTTTAAAACTGGACAAATGGATAGAAGACTTGTGTCTCCCTGCTTTTCAAATGAATTGAAGTAAATAGATTTAAATTTTAAAATAAGCAAAACACAAAATGATGTATTTCTATCAGAAATGTATATCAGCATCCTCTGTGAAAACAATTTCTGAAGGTCACTGAAAGGTATCCTAAGTGACCATTCAAAATGCTTTTTAGTATGTTCTTCATGTTGAGCACATCCACCTACAGCCCTCAACTCTGTCCTCTGGATTGGAAAAGGGAACAGATAAACACAAGATCCATGTTTCCCTAACCACAATCCAAACACCAAGGGTTGATACAGGATAGGAATGAGCAGTTAGCTCAAGTTGAACAAACAAAGTGTAATGGCTCTTGTTGAGATGACCAAACAGAGGTGGACAAAGTCTACATTCAAGGCCAAGAGCAGAGTTGGCAGAGTTGGCAGATTCATTACTGGAAGCCTCATGGGACATTTACTCTCTTAAGTATTTGAGGGGGCAGTGAGCACTTCAGAACCCAATTCATCTTTTTTGTCTTCCCTCTAGTCAACTGCATCCTCCTCCTGCTGGTACAGGAAAGAGCCATTTGTTTCATTAATGGGTACTCTCTCACTAGCTAAGTGGTTGCTCAGAGCCAGGGCAGAAGGTGAAGCCATCTTGAGGACAGCAGGAGACGTGTCTCGCTTAGATGGGGGCAGGAACAGCTTCCCACTCAGGCTGCAGGCTTCTCATCTGGAGTTGGTCACATGCTCCCCATGTTCTGAGCTCCCTCTTTCCTGGGAATCAGTGAAGCTTCCAGAGAAGGCCAGCTATGCCTAGTGATCAGAAAGGGTCTCTGCACAGAGCCACAGGATGGCTGAGCTGAAAGAGGCTTGACCAGTTGCACAGATAAAGCAGCAGTATGAAGGTTCCCACTCAGGGCTCTGTGTTACACAAAGGCTAACACCAGGGCTAACCTTGACAGTAGCTTCCACTGATTTAATAGTTTCTATGCACTAGGATCTGTGCCAAGGATTTATACTCATTAGCTTCTTTAATTATTACTTCAGATTTGTAAACTACATGTTCTTCTTTGGAGCAAAAGTTTTAAAAACTAATAATATTCACCACTCATGTAAAACTTAGTAGGGACTAAGCACTGTTTCAGGCCATTACAGCTATTTTCTCACCAAACCCTCACCACAACCCTATAAGGTAGGCATTCTTGTCCCCATTAGTAGATGAGAAAACCAACACCTAAGATGCTGTGACCTGCCCAAAGTCACTCCATCAGTAAGTGCCCCAGCAGAATCAATGCCCAGTTGTCTTGCTCCCACAGCACACTGCATCTTTCACTTAACTTCAAACACAGCAGCAGATGAGAATCAAAGGTCAAGGTCCAAGTCAGATCAAGCTTTAAATGTTAGCTAGCTATTTGGCAATCACATTGCTTGGCCTCCTCATTGCGTATAGCTAATTTATAATTAGGGCAAATACCACAACATCACAGTATTACTGGAACCCTCTTATACTTAGAAATGTTTCTCTGAATTGCAGATTCTGGGGTCGGCTGCCCTTTCACAAGAAGCAACAGAAGAAATGTCACTCCACCTCATCCCTTTCACGAAGCAAGCAGGCATTTAGGGAACTAGGCCAGGGTGCCAGCTCCAGGCAGAAGTCCTAAGTCCTAAGAAAGTCTAGGGTAATACAGAATGCAGACCATGCTCTTACAAAGAAAACTGCCCATGAAATATCGCTAGACAATAGTGTACTGTGAGATAGGGGCCCTAGAAAAAGAGGCAAATCTGGAGAGTGGGGGCCAACGGGGTAGGCCTTCCTTGAGAGGCTCCAAGAGGAGTTGGAACGCAAAGCTGTGGCAGCTTCAACTAAACAATAAGGCAAAGAGAAACAGGTGGTAGTTGAAACTGAAACTGTGGCAGAAATCAGGTACCTTGGGGATTGGCAAGAACCTGGTGAAACTGGCAGCTGTAACAACCAGCTGACTTATGCTGGATGGTGGTGGTGTGTGTGTGTGTACATATCCTTTGGGGTTGGGGGAAATAGCCTCAAGAATGGCCAAGGGTGGGATTGGATAAAAATCTAGAATATCAGAGAACAAAAGGTTTGAATACTCCTTATCATGAAAAGCTTTTCAAACCCTTTTCATAGGAAAATCTCCCCACCACCATCCAAACAAAACCAACATACTTTGTTTGGAGCTCAAATATATACTTATACAACTTAGTAGGGATTATATACATATAAATGACTGATTGATTCAGAGGCTGAGGCCTCTTTGCTGCAAGCCCCTGATTTTATGGAGGCAGACTGAGAAGCAATTCACTGTAGAGAACAGTGTTAGACAGGTGCTGACATGATTGGAACACAAAGCTTCAGAGGAAATTCAGAACCTTCCCAAATGTTTCTTCCTCCTAAAGTACACAGCCTGAGTAGAGATAAAGAAAGGCCCTTGTGTAGTTGGGATGGGCAAGGACATTGGGAACTCAGAAAAGGGCTTCACAGCCAACAGGGGCTGTTGATAACGCATTCCACTACTTGCCTAAAGAATGTAACGGCCACGTGTCAAGAAAAAGTGGCACCACCTGCCACTGGACCATGCTGTCCTCCCTTTACCAGAACTCGAATCCTGCCCTTCAGGCTTGGTCTCTATGAACACAGGCCCTGGCCTGGGCCCTCCGGAGCATCTCACCTGGTCCCGAGTATAAGGTGTATCCACTCTCTGCTTGTCGCTGCAGGCTTCCAGGAGGACGCGGATGGCATTCAGCTGTAAGAGCATCTCACAGGCCATGGTGTCAAAGAAGGTGATGTTGGCAAGGGCCGCAGAGGCCAGCAGGAAGACTTCCCCAGAAGAGGCCTCTTGGCACAGTTCTGGATGGCAAAGAGGACGAAAACAGTTTCAGTGCCAAGTGCTTCAGATAATAACCTCAATTGGTTCCCACAACAGCTATGGTGGACCATTGGGGCATGCAATAATAACACTGGTTTTATAGTTGGTAAAAATGATTACTGCAGAGGGTAAGGTGTCTGTCTGTATGGGTGGCAGATCTTGGATTAGAAACCAGTGTGCCTCCTATTCTTTCTGTCACCAACTGTGTCTCAGGTACTGCTAGTGGCATGGTGAACAAAAACAGAACATCTTTGCCCCCATCAAGCTTATACCCTAATATCAGCCAAGAGAAAAAGAAATTTGAAAGAAATTTGTAGAAATAATTTCAAGTTCTGATTAATATGAGGAGGAAAATAAAGAAGCACTAGGACAAACAGTAACCAGGTATCAAAAAAGGTATATAACGAATGGGCCACTAAGAATGTGAATTTACAGTTGAGTCCTCAAAAGGAGAAAGAAGTTAGTTGGAGAAATATTTGGGGGGGAGAAGATACTCTCAACCAAAGGCTCAGCATGTGCAAAGGCTGTGGGGCAGGAAAGACCTTGTCCATTCGTGTCTCCAGTAATGTACACTAGACTGCTACAAATATACCTTAAGGAAGAGGCTAAAGGTAAAATAAAAATAAACTTGTCCTCTCTAGCTGTCATTAGCAAAGCTTCAGTACTTCCTTTTGGTCCCAACATAAGGCTTATCCAGCTACAATGCCAGGCTCTTTCTCCCTAATGCCAGTGCGGATAGCCAAGATCTGTAACCAAATTTTCACACTGGAATTTTCCCATCTGAGTTTATACTATGATGAGAAGTCCCATCCCTCTCTCCTAACACACTGCCCTACAGGCTCCACCATGGATGGACTCCACAGCACAGGAAGAGGCATAAAGGGCTCCGCACATGGTGCTACTCATCCCCTCCACCTGACTTCTGATACTTGGCTCCAACTTAAAGAAAAATTAAGGCATTTCTTGAGACCAAGATCTTTCCTGTTTGAAACATCTCTACCAAAACCACTAAAGGAGAGGCCATAGTTCAGGAGAATAGCCCCAGAGAGAGAAATAAGTTTAGGAGACACGGGTATGTTCCATCCTTGCCCCCAGTTCTTGACTCCAGCCATAGTGTCAAGATCTGGCAATTAGTACCTCCCAGTATCTTCTAGTGAATGCAGTTACTGGTCCCTGCCTAAACAGAGATGGATAGTGACCTGCAATGTGAACCAGGACACTAGAGTCTGAGCAAAAAGTACAAGGTTGTTGTCTCAATTTACAGACATGGAAGCTGAGTCTCAGACAATATAACAGCAGTTGAAGTTACCATTTATAGGAGTTTACTCCCTGCAAGGTGCTGCTATGTATTTTAATCTCATGAAGTTATTCAATCTTTATATTCTTATCATAATCTTATAAGTGAAGGAAATGAGAAATCAGATGGTATGTAACTTGGCCAAGGTCTTGTGAACAATAAAGTAATTGTTGGGGCTATGACACCAAAGTCCTCATTCATCCTACACACCAGGTTGCTCCATGTCAACCCCACACTGAATCACTGACTCAATCTCAGCTCCTAAAGACCTAGATTCTAATTTTGCTAGAAGGGAAAGCTTATCTTTGGGCAAGACTGTTCTTCACAATCCACTCTTGATCTAACCACCCAGGAATAGGACAACAGAGTGGCCAAAAAATTAAGGACTCCATGATTCCCTTCATGTAAAACTCCATCTTCTGGCTATTAGGAAGTCACTCGGGCTATTCAACCCCTCCCAGGTCATCTCCTTACAACCAAGTAGGGCTGAGACTACAGAATCCACTGGCCTAGTTTGCTGTAAGATTTCTTTTAGGTCCAAACTCTTTCTCTCATTCTCATACAGTTGCTGTTGCTGCCGACATAGCAATTATTAACACACCATCTAAGTGCCTTTTAATTTTGCTGCCCATTTATTTGAACTACAGTCTGAGTCACCTGGGATGTGTTAGGGAGATTAAATGGATGATTCTAGTGACTCATTTATAAATGTTTCCAGGGAATGGCAAGAAACTGGAGGACTATTTCCCACCAAAGAACAGAGATCTGGATTTCCGCCCAGAAGATATATTCCATTTGCTGCATTTCAGAGTGGACTCTACAATGTATCTTCATCAGAATGAAATACATAGGAGAACCACTCTTCCCCAGGGGAAAATCCAGCCTGGCTGGGCAAAGAAGGAGGGATGTACATGTGACAAGAGTGCAAGGTCACTTGGACTGTATTATGCTGAGGTTCATTTATTTGAATTTTTATTTGATTATGTTTGTAAATTGAGTTATTTCCTATAACTTTAACATTTGTGTCTTACCTTTAGAATGTAGGCATTTCCTGCCTGCCACAATCAAATGGGTTGAACAGCAACTATTTCTTTTACGTGCTTTTCAATTCCATATAGAACCTGAACACCCTTATTTTCTTCTTCCATCTGGCTCAAATCATTTATTTTTCTTATTGGTCTCTGGCTGCTGTTTGAGCGTGAGACTCTCCTCTTAGAGTGGACATCGATCTTTTTGATCTCTTGAGCTCCCTCCAACCATGGCTTTCAATAATTGATTTTCATGTTTTCTCAATTTAAAACAAATGTAAGGTTGACAAATGGAGTTCTGCAAGCCTGGCCTGTGGGTATCACTGCCCTTGCAACTAGAATCACCCACAAATTCAACTTAATCTGTGTCTCTTCTATGTGAAAAGCATTTGCATATCTTAAATTCTAGAGCAAGGACCTTTGAGAGAAGCAGGTTGCAGGCTTTCATTTAGCATATAAAGGAAGTTGTGAAGCGGGCTTATGATACAATATAGTCAGTGATTGGCAGAGTCTCACATGGTACCTGTCCAGGGTTGCTACACAACAGCTCTTGGCTGAATGGATTAGTGAAAAGCCAGAACCCAACAGTATTATATGCTGACCCTATGTTAATGCAGATATTTTCAGCTCTGATATGTTGACTCCAAGCACAAGCCTTAAATATTCAGATAAATGTAATTATAATTCATTTTCAACAATATGTAAATATGGAGACATGACAGAGTTAAGGGTAGAAGTAAAAGCAAACCACTACCAAGCACAATGGAAAGAAAGAATGAGGGTTTCAAAGAAAGTACCCAAGGACCATCATCTAGATAAATCCTTCTACTTTCTGCAATTTAACCAATGGAAGCTAGAAAAAGAGCCTATTCCAGATACTGAACTATGCTTCTCTTACCAGGAGTACACACCTGATTAGAGAAATCTGAAAGTATCAAAGCTTTCCTGACTGCAGGATGAGATAGCAAGGATAAGTTTTCAGTGGGGGATTCTGGAGAATTTTATTTGCTGCTGTCACTGTTTTCTGGTCAAGGATCTGAATTCAAGGACCCCTGCTCTGCAGGCTCCCTCTCCCTAAACTCCTATCCCAAAGGCTAATTCATCCCAACCCAACCACAGTCTAACTGGCTTCTTAAAGGGCTCTATGCAGTTTTATGGGAGGCTTTTGACAATAGAGCTCCTCAAAGCCTGGCTGTGATCCATGGACGCCTGAAGATACCTAGTGTGGTCTTTTAGGAGGTATCTGGGCTTCAAGAAGTAGCAGATATGAAGGCCTTCCTCATCCCTCCTAAAGACAACCACCAAGGCCCTCTCACACACTTGAGGGAGGCCTGCCCACCGAGGGTGACTCACTGACGAGGGCCGTCACGATCTCCTCCATGCTCTCCAGGAAGCTACTGAGGTGCTGGGTGAAGGGCAGGTGTGGGGAGGTGACCTGGGCCACCACAGCAGCAGCCTCAGCCCGCGTAGCCTCCGAGTGGCTGTCGTCTGTCAGGATGTCAGCCAAGCACAAAACGCCATCCACCTGCAGATGGAGAGAGGGAGCTTCCCTGGGCATCCTGAGAGAGTACCACGCTCGTGACAGCAATGGGACACTCCAGACTCCCTACAGGGCCAGCCCTGACTTCCCAGGACAGCCCATAATCCACTGTGGTACCAAGGACAATCCAAGGATGAGGTCCCAGAATGACCCAAACTGGAGCCACTTGAGGTTGTTCCTTTGAGTCCACCAGACATTAGTGACCGTCCATGGACTCTATTTTTAAAAAAGATTTTTGCTTTAAATTTATCCTTTTTAAGGAGAGACAAAGAGACCTTCCACCCACTCGTTCATGCCGCAAATCTCTTCAACAGCCAGAGCTGAGCCTATCTAAAGCCAGGAGTCAGGAGATTCTTCCAGGTCTCCCACATCGTCAGGGTCCATCCTCTGCTTTTTCAGGCCATAAGAAGGGAGCTGATCAGAAGTAAAGTAGCCAGGACTAGAATCAGCACCTATACAGGATGCTGGTACTGGCATAATGAGAAAAAGTCCATTGAGCCATTGCGCCAGCCCTACAGTGTTATAGTGAGAGAAGGAAAGAGAAAGAGAGACGGGGGGCGGGGGGGAGAGGGAGAGAGGGAGAGACAGAAAGAGAGAGAAAGGAAGAGAGAGAGAGGGAGACTGAGATGCTTCCGTCTTATCACTCCCAAAACAGCCACAGGCAATGGAGCTGTCCCAGTCCAAATCCAGGAGCCAGGAAATTCTTCTGGGTCTCCCATGTGTGTACAGGGCCCAAGGACTCTGGCCCATCTTTTGCTGAGTTCTCAGGCACATTAGTAGCAAGCTGGATCAGAAATGGAACAGCCAGGAATCAAACCAGCATGCAGAGTATGCTGGTGCTGCAGGTGGAGGCTTAACTACTATGTCACAGTCCTATCCCTCTCCCCCATTAGACTTTCTAAGTAGCAGACATTAACACAGTGTTTTGGGGACTAGATCATGGTCACCCACCACAGCCAAGCACTGTAAAAAGATTATGTAGAAATCACACATCCACAAACTCCAACCTTGGCTCTCTCTTCCTTGTTACATGATTTGGCATTAGTCACCAGCCTCTCTAAGCCAGCTTCCTCCCATATCAACAGAATGTAGAGGGATCAAAGAAACAAGGCAAGCAATGACTGATCTAGAGGAGACTTCCAGCAATGCTAACTTCTTCTTCCCTTCCCTGGATTTAGCAGCAGGCCGAGTACCATCTTTCCTTGACAATCATCTCCTCTACAACTCTCCTCAACGAAGGGGCCGGGGAATGGCGCTGCTTTCCTGGAGAGAAAGATCTCTCCACTAGGTAGGCACAGTGGGGCATGTACACCAGACTACCTTCCTAGCTCTGCCATGATCATACCTGCCCTTGGCATAATACTACACTTAATGAATACTTACAATGTGCCAGGCACTGTCCAAGGTAAAAAGCCTATGTGACTATTCCAACACTCTGCCATAACCTTTAAAACCAGTATTATAAAACCTTTAAATCCCTACTCGACAGGCACAACCTTCAAACATCGTTGGTTCAATGGATGTAAACTCACTACTTCAGACACCCACATCTCACACAGTAGAGCCTGGTTTGGGTCCTAGGCGATCTACTCATGACCTCAAGAAGCAAATAATGTTTCTAGGACTGGGGGTCCCCATCACCTACATGAGAGACCTGGATGAGTTCTAGGTTGCTTGGACTCAGTCTGACCCAGGCATGACTGTTAAGAGGTTTGGGGGGGGAGGGGTCTGCACTCTCTTCCCTGCATCTTGTTTCAGATAAAACATAACAATAGAAAAGAAGATAACTTTTCAGGAAAATCATGAGTCTGGCATTTGTACCCAAATGGTTTGGATTCAAAAGACAGGTTTTCAACAGAACTGCTGCCTTCCAAGATGCAGCACCTGAACTCAAACCTCAGCCTCTACTGACACCCAGGAAATTTACTGGATGAAAATGGGACAGAAGCCATCCAAAGCGAGGTCAGCAGTGCTCCTGCTGTGCCTGGGATGCCCCAGGACAAGAGTCTGCCTGAGCACCTGGCCACCAGCATCAAGGAGTCCCTTCCCAGTTAGGAGTGGCAGACAGGAATGGGGCAGAGGAAGATCAAGAAAAGGGCAGTGAGAAGCCTGTGCTGACACTTCCCCACCTACCCCAGGCCCCCAGTCCCTGTGCATACATTCTGTTTCCTGTCACACAGCCCCAGTGGATCTCCTGAGGACCCACGTTCTGTGTGACTAATTGCCACCACTGAGTTCTGTGCCCATCTTAAATGGCTCTCGGGAGCTGTAAGGTCCATTAGCTGTGAAAGCCTTTGGCAACCTCAGACTCAAAGGAGACAAATGTGGAAACAGGAGCCCAGGGAACTGTCTGCAATAAAACTCACCTGGATGTGCTTAATAAATGGGAACAAACAGCAGGCAGCCAGCCCAGCAGCACTGAATGCCTGCCAGATGTCTGAAGAGCAGGTCCTCAGAGAAGGGTCTCATGTGGGTCCAGAGAAGAGCAGAGGGCTCTCAGGACCCAGAAATAAGAAACATCCATATTGCCAACATAGGAAACCTTGTAGGCATAAGAAAGCCTCATTCTCTAGTATCCTTCTGGCATGATCCAAGCCTGTTGCTTACAAAAAAAAAAAAAAAAAAAAAAAAAGCTATGGAGTCTCTAGGGGGCAAATGTCTCAATCTCATCTTGGTTGTACATCTTGGATTGCCATCCAGGTTCCCAATCCAGGTGCAAACATTAGTCAAACTCCAACCAGTGTTCTGCTCTGCTCCCTCCAGATGCCAGGTGATAGGCCTATCTGAACAGAGAGGCCACGGCCGGGATGTTCCTTTCCTCCAGCCTAGAACACTGCTATCTGCTTCATAAACACAGCAGGCAAGAACTCCCTTACTGCATGCTGCATGCTAGGCCTGGTACCAGAGCAAGGGGAAAGGATGGGGAGAAGTGACACCTCCACAGATAAACAGCAAGCAGTGTGGCTTCCCATGAGGGTGCTCTGTGGGGAGTCTCCTGGAAGGACTGGGGGAGATGGCCCTCTTCTGGTTTTCTGGGACCAAGTACTTTCAGGTTTTTAGCACAGCCCTACTCAGGGCCCTGCTGCTGTAGGGAAGGCCTGTGAGCCAGATGCATAGAGTTCACTGCAGACTTCCTAAGGGCACACTCCTGTGCCCAACCCTGGACCTACAACAGTACTATAAAAGTTCATGGAGGGTCTGACATCATGGTATATCAGGTTAAACCTTGACCTGCAGTGCCAGCATATGGTTGGGCACTAGTTCAAATCCCAGCTGTTCCACTTCTGATCCAGCTCCCTGCTAATGTGCCTGGGAAAGCAGTGGAAGATGGTCAAAATCCTTGGACCTCTACACCCATGTGGAAGACCCAGAAGAATCTCCTGACTCCTGATTTTGGAATGAACCAGCTCTGGTCATTGTGGTCATTTGGGGAGTGAACCCAAGAATGGCAGACTACACCTTCCTCCATTCCTTCTTATCTCTCTCCTTCCCTTCATCCTCCCCCTGCCTTCCTCTCTCTTCTCTCTCTGTATAACTCAAAAGTTCATGGGGAGTGGACATCTGACACAGGGGTAAATCGCTGAGATGCCAACATCCCATATGAAAATGTCTGGGTTCAAATCCAGGCTCTGCTTCTGATTGCAGCTTCCTGTGGATGCACACCCTGGGAAGCAGCAGGTGATGGCTCACAGATGTGCATCCCTGTCACTCAAAACAGAGACCCAGATTGGCTTCCCCACTCTTGGCTGCAGATGATCCAGCCACGGCATCTGGAGAGTGAACCAGCAAGTGGAAAACTAACCTCTCTCTCTTTCTAAAATAAATATGTATTGTTAATACATGGAAGAATAAATTATAAGATTTGCTTTGATGTAAAAAGTTTTGAAATTCATATATAGCTTTCTTATGATAAACATTTTTCTTGGACTTTTTTGAAGATTCTGTACATATGCAGGGAGTTCAACAATTTTTACATAAAAATAAACTTACCTTTCAATTACATTTCACCCATTTTTTTAGATATCCCTGTATGGATATGTGCATATTCCAACAATTTTAGTCTTGAAAATAAAATGGCCCTTGCACATCCTGGTTTTCCTCTGCTGCAGGGTCATTACCTTGAATTTTGTGCTTATTGGTCCCTTGTTCACTTTAGAGATTTATTGTATATGCATTATTTTTAATTATGCTTTTGTACTTGCCATAAGTGCTATCATAGTGTTCACAGCCATTTCCTTTTCTGCCTAGTCAGTATTATGATTACAAAATGCCTTCTGTTGGTTTTTGTGGCTACAACCCATTTATTCTCACTATTGGATAACAATTGTATAAGTCAACTGCAATCCATTTTGTTTTGTCCTGTTGATGGACACTTAAGTAGTTTTTTTCCAAGTGTTGTTATTACAGACAGTACTGCCATAAATATTCTTCCATGTAGATTCTAACAAACATATGCCTTTCTTAAAGGATCTCAAGCTAAGAGAGAAATTCTCAGGGTGTAGGTTCCATGTCTTCACCTTTACTGGTATTGACAAACGTCTTGCAACATGGTTGTAATAATCTACACTCCCATAAGCAATATGTAAGTTCATTTAACTGTATTCTTGCCTTGGTATTGTCAGATGAGCATAAAATTATATGTGTCTTTAATTAAACAATTAGGTTGAAAGTCTGTATCTTTCTGTGTTGCTTTTCTTTAGTATGCTTGGGTTTCTGCTGGTTTTTTTTTTCAAGTCAGAACTCTTCTACCATGAGTTTCCTGTTCACCTGCTTTGCTCATTTTCCATTTCATGGCCTCTCATAAGAACGAAATTGTCCCATCCCTTGACTGTGACGCTGCTGACCCATAAGCTCCCTGCTGCCAGCATGGTGCTACCAGGTCAAGTTCATCTCTATACCCACCACCATCTCCACAGGCACAAACCAACCCAGTGCTACGGTAAGTCATTGAAGGGCTCTACTCTTCTGAGCTCTGGGCTTTTCAG